CATACGGTAAATCTCCTTCGCTTATGATATAAGTTTGTCTAAACGAAACAGCACCTTGCGTGGAGTGGGAATACTACTCACATTGATCATAGTGTTTAAGTTCTGAAAAGAGGGACATACAACCGGAACTGAAGAAATTTGAAGTCCACGTGATCAGGCAAGTACTAACTCTCATTCATGCCATTGATGGAGTATAACTGTGCATCATAGCAACATTCTCTGAACAGATTGTACCATTGCATTTGCATCTGTCGCTTCTTCGTAACCCACCTCAGGCCAACTTGGTGAATTGCCATCACCTTATAGAGAAGCAGTGAGTTTCTGTCTAAGAGAAGTCTTCAATGCCGGTATATTGAAGGAAAACGAAATTTTATTGAGAAATTTCACAATTTTGTCATACCTGATTGCTTGTCTTAAAATGAGCATTTTTATCAGTTGTCATTCTTTGTTCAAAACACAGATGACATGAAATATTACCTTGCATCAGTCTTCGGGTCCGGTGTGTTCATTTCAAGTGGTAATATGAAATATACTTAACGATGACGATTATATGAGATGTGCTTGTCTAGCGTATTGTGGGTCTTCCAGGCGGTGTCGATGCCAAGGTAGAGTTTTGTAGCAGCATTTTCTTCAAGCAGTCGCTATTTATTCCAAACATTCGTTATAACGTTTCCAAGATACCACTGTTTCAACGTCTCAGTGTTTTTCAAAATCATGCATCGAATACGAAGTTGTGCTTACGAGAATTCATTGACTTTCAGGTTCTTTCAAAGGGTCCGTAGCAGTCGTCTGTAATGCGATACTGAACGGATTAGCGAATTCTGAATACCCGAAGGTTCAGCTTCCGCACCCACACTTTACAGCCAATCAGATTGGAAGCTTTAATATTCTCAGCTATGAGGAATTTTTAATTCCGTTTTAAATGGGGCATAGTACTAAGAATGAGCATGCACTACTCCGGTGTTGGAGTCCGGCTTCACGAAAACAACGATGGTATTGGTGGCGCTGAAGAAATAAGGGAGGATGATTTCTAAGAGGGAGTAAACATGCATTGACTATCACCTCGTCAGGACTGTTACTTATCAGTATCGAATGAAATCAGAAATTAATCTGATGAGTTTGGCTGCCTATGGAGATTAGCAAACAATTTCTGTTATCCATTGCGCGTTAGAATCTAGACTATGGAGTCTGTCAATTTAGCGATGAACGGGGACTGTCATAAAACATTCTGAAGCATCTCTTCTTGCGAACTGAAAGGAATCGTGGATGTTGAACATAAGAGAAAGACGAGCGTCCTGCAAAGTTAAAAACAACAGGTAAAGGATTAGTAAAAAACTTGAAATATATCCTTGGTACGTTAGTACGCAAGACTATTTTGGCAGTTACCTATTATGACTCATGCCAACTATTTTCCAGGAAATAAACATAAATTTATTTAATAAATGACAAATATGAAATAAGTGAACTCAAACGACTTCGCCAAAGAAATTCGTGAATTTCTATCAACTGAAGGGACCATAACGATAAGCTAGGATACAAGAGCCTTTTCCTCAACATTACTCTTAATTGACTTTTGAATTGTGAGGTAGAGACTGGCGGCAGACGATGAGTTTAAAATAAAGACGTTCTAATAAGCGTAAACTATACCGAACATCCTAAACATATGCGT